TTTGGAAATTAAGCGTATCACAAAGTTTGTAACGAGAAAGAATAAACTAGTTTTGTTTAAGAAAGAACTTGTATCACTAAAGTTTCTCGGAAAGAATTTCTACGGGAAATTAACAAACAAGCAGAGACGTAACACTATATTTTCACCAATAATGTTATTTATTACAATGAATAAAATACGATAAACATTGCCTAATATTTATGAGTTAGGTAATTCTCCTTTACCTTTTACAAGGGCTCCGGCATGGCCAGGTGGTTAAGGCACTCGACTCGCAATCTGGGGCCGCCGGTTCGAATCCCCGTCACACCAAACATGCTCGTCCTTTCAGCCGTGGGGGCGTTATACTGTGGCAGTCAATCCCACTATTCGTTGGTAAAAGTGTAGCCCAAGAATTGGCGGTGAGTGGTGATGACTAGCTGCCTTCCCTCTAGTCTTACACTGCTAAATTAGGGACTGCTAGCGCAGATAACCCTCGTGTAGCTGTGCGCTACATTCAAAACAAACAAACCGTTTGCAATAAATATGGTTACACAACGTTTTTTATGTTTCAGATTTTCTTTCAAGGAAGGAATTGCGATGAGAGTATGAATGGCTTTATTTAAATTTCTATTGGATAATAAGGTGGGGTCCTCAGCCAGGGTGTTTAAAGTGTTAGAAGGCCTTGCTTAAAATTCACATTAACACTGTTTTATATACACAGCCTGGTCACAAATAAATAGACACCACCTTTTCAGAAAAAAAATGAAAAATTTCAGTCATATTCACATGAATTAATATATTTATAATTTAATTAATATTTAGCAGATCGTCCTCTCGCTTCGTGGAGTTTGTTGATCCTTTGGGGCATCGTGAGAATCATCTCGTCAATTTTAGATTGTGGGATTTTCGCCCACTCTTGCTTCAAAACTTGGAGTAGATCGCTCTTCGAAGTTGGATTTTTTGGTTGTTTCTAGACTTGCCGGTTGAGTATGGCCCAATGGTTTTCGATGGGGTTCATGTCAGCAGATTGGCTCGCCCAGGGCAACTTCTGGATACCATTTTCTTCCTGCCACTTTTGGGTGTTTCTAGCAGTGTGACACGGTGCTCCATCTTCCTGGAACAATGTTGTGTTCTTGTCCACGAAACCCGAGGAATAAAGTGGCAAGAGTCCTTCCTCCTATAATATTTCGACGTATTTTGCAAAAATTTATGTTGCCAACGCATTCCACTAAGCTCTATCTCCCACCAACCCAAACAGCTCCCTAAACCATCACGCTGAAGCCACCATGCTCCACAGTTGGCTGCACTCTGTTGAGCCAAAACTCTTGGTGAGGCATTCTCGAAAC